ATGAAGTATCAACTAACACAATGACAAATGCCCTAAGAATATCTAAGTATTTACTCACTAAATGAATAAGGCAAAGGGCACTTGCTGCATGTGGAGATTTAAAATCACCAGATGTTTCCTCCTGTGAGAGGCCTCTATTCTGTCCCCCAAAAGGCACAAAATACAGGAGTGATAACCTAGAGACAGACATGTGTACATTCAACAAAGTGATGATTCTCCAGGGAAACAAACACCAAAAAGTTACAGGAACTGCTTATGACAGCCTTTTTAGGAAAATGAAACGAGTTCAATTTGGTTACAAAGAATATTAACTTGTGAGAACTGAATTAGTATATATACTCGTGAGGCCCAAAAATCAGCTTCACTTTGAATGATGTTTTTCAGGCTCTCAATATTCAAATGATAAAGGACCAAACATCTAGCATCTCTAAGAATAAACTACATAACACCTCAGACAGCAGTTCAGACTAAAATGAGGTCAGAGGGGATACCTAAGTTTAAAGTTACATTTTTGCAACTCGTATTATCTTTCAAAGTTTACTGACCAACTGTCACAACTACCCTGTCCTTCATAGAATATTACTTAGAATTCATGTGTCCTTTAACCTTGTTAGAGGTTTAGTTGTACAAGGACAAGGCAATTTATAAAACTGAGGAAAACCAAATTGCAATACATATAGTCATCAGAAGAATTCCTGAATGACCAGGTCTGCTCCACTTTTCCCTGTAAGAACAGAAAGTTTGTCATATTCCAGTAGTCATTTCAGGAAAAAATTCACTATGTGAATTAAAATGTCCAACTGCAAGACACCTTTATATATTATTGGATTTATACTTTCACTTTAAAGTGAAATCACAACTAATGACAATATTCAATGAAGCAGTAAACTACTAGTTTAAACTAGCTCAACCTTGCACTTCCTTCTGGAAAAAAAAGCCCCAAATATTAACTATACTGTGGATGTGTGCTTTCATAAGAAGGGCAGGATCTGGCCTAAGTAGCTGCTGTATGGTCCTTACTATATGCAGGGGGTTTGTTTGGTTGTGAAAACAAAAACTTCTTGATGTGGTGTACAAAGGGTTATTCTACTTAACATACCACACATGAGGGGATGCAGAATGTGATGTGACTGCAGTAATTATGTTCAGCTAGCACACTAAGTCCAACTGTCTCCCTTTGTAAATTTTTCTTCCAGCTTTTGAAATGTTTTCATAGTCTGAATGTGTGGGTTTTAATTTTTAGTAAGGGTTTGTTAGTGTCAAATGGATTTTGGAAAGTGTGGGTCCGAATACAATTACTGCAGGTAGCCTTCTATAGCAGAGAAAGTGCACAAGATTCTGCACTGATTTCAACCAGAAACATGCTTTCACTGCAGTCATAAACCAGGAGTGTTCATAGTACAGCTCTCACTATAGCTCTGTCAGGTGGTGCCTACAGGAATATCAAAGGCCTTCTGTGTTACGAAACAAAGCAACTGTAAACTTCTGTGATTGGTCATGAGGCTGTTCCTGTGATTTTATTTTTAAGAGAAATGGTATACTCTCCTATGTTTACTGCAAGAGTAGAAGTTATATTTGAAACATTAAGGATCTGAGTCCATATTCATCTCCAAGAACATATCCAGGCTTTGTGCTGGTGTAGACATATCTCATACCGGTCAGAAAAACTTCCCTGAGGATAAGAAAAACTACACATTAAATGCAAAAGGGTCCAAAGTTCTTGAAAAAAAGTGATATAAGTCTCCACTTGGTGGCTTTGATAAGTTTGTTGCCATGAATCTCTGAACAGCATAGAAAAGGAAACTGCAGAAACAGAATGCAGAATTTGGCGTTCAATTCCCCAAGAGTCCTCTCTTTGACAGGTTCAGATATTAAGAAAGAATACAAAATAAAAAAGAAAACACTGTTTTAATCTGATAAATCACAGGTTGGAAAAGACCTCTAAGATCACTGAGTCCAACCTGTAACCAATCACCACTTTGTCAACTAGACCATAGCATAAAGTGCAGTCACTTCTTGAACACCTCCAGCATTGGTGACTCCACCACCTTCCCAGTCAGTCCATTCCAATCGTTAGCAACCCTTTCCATGAAGAAATTCTTCCTGATGTCCAACCTGAACCTCCCCTGGTGGAGCTTTAGGCCATTTCCTCTTGTCCTGTTGCCAGTTGCATGGGAAAAGAGGATGACCCCTACCTTACTACAGCCTCTTTTCAGGTAGTTATGGAAAACAATAAGGTCTTCCCTGAGCCTCCTTTCTTCCAGGCTAAACAACCCCAGCTCCCTCAGCTGCTCCTCATATGACTTGTCCTCTAGACCATTCCCCAGCTCCACTGCCCTTCTCTGGACACACTCCAGCACCTCAATGCCTTGCTTGCAGTGAGGGGCCCAGAACTGGCACTGGACTTGAGGTGAGGCCTCACCAGTGCTCAGTGCAGGGGGAAAAACAAATCTGCTGTTAATATGTATGTGACTGGACTGTGTTCCTGCTTACAGAATTGAATATTGCCTAAATCATCGTAGGCCCAGGGCAAAAGCACTTGATCTGGAGAGTCCAAATTTCATTATAAAAGGCACCAAAAGGTGTCAGGTATCATCTTGTAAAGAATTCAGGATCTGGAACAAGAGTGGTCTATGAATCAACACTGAAATACTTTTGGACAGTGCAATGAGAATTTCTGGAAATACAATCTATGGTATATCTGATGCAGTTCAAATTTATTCCCTTTTAAAACACTACAAATATTTTCAAAATACTTGTATGACCTAATTTTTAAATTCTGTTGCCTCAGAAAAGCCATACATTTAGCACACCCTGTAGTGACTGTATAATACCATATAAAGAAATGCTGAAGCAAATGATTTGAAAAGTTTCCTTACTCAAATAATAATTTAAAAAAATTTATCTATGGATGAAACATTTTTGGAAAAGCTTTAAAGATAGTAGCAGCACCTAATTTTTAAAAAGAGAGAATGTGAGCTGTAGTGAAATAACACAGAAGGCTTTTGACTTCAAAGCTGACATAAAGAAAGTTTAGCAAGATGTACTAGAAATGAAGATGCCATCAAAGGATGTAAAACAATAAAAACTCATAATTTACAGAAGTCTGTAAGCAGCTATGTAATCTTCGAAAGACTTGTAATTGATGCAGCATCTGGACAGACCTGAAACAGAACAGAAATTCCCACCAGGAATGCAACACAGCAAGGTCTCAAGAAGCAAGAAAATGCCCTGGAGAAAGATCTATAACAGCCACAAAACGCAGGCCCAGTATCTAAATACTGAATTGGTCTGTCAGAAAATGAGTGAGCTGGGTAAGGTATCACTCAGGTAAACAGTAAGGATGATCAATTTCACACATGAACAAACACAGCACTTCACCTTTGATGAAGATGTTGAACTTGACTGTCAAAGAGATGCTGTGCTATCCTAATTTAATACAAATCCTGACATAATTTAAGTGCAGCCATTTAAATGAACTGATGAAGATGTGGTGAGCGCTAGAGGGAGGAGAAAATAAATAAATTACCCAGAAGAAGAGACACATTGAAACTTTGTTCTTTGCTCATCCAGACACTGCTGAAAAGACTAGGGAAAAATTGCGAGGCACAGTACTTAGTTGAAGGTGCACTGACAGATCACGATCAACAACTGCATCTGAACAGACTTTAAGGCAAGTCTTGTGACCTGAAGGTCACAAGGAATCCTGCAGATGTTTAAGAACAGCCTATTGCTTTGTAGCCCGTTGGTATATTATGTTTATGGCATAGGAGCAGATACTGTATGTTAGACGACAGCATTTGCTGTGTGACTTCTCCTATTACATGACTCAGATATAGGAAAATCCCATTTGCTGTGCTTTATCCATCTAGTCCTCTCGGTCCTGACTCACACGCACAGGAGCCAATAGCTGCGGTGATACAAATGCTGAACCACAGCTGTGCTCTCTCCATCCTTTTCTTTCTAGGTATTATCACCTTTCTAAGCATGTCCAGCTGAAGAAAATTTCTGCATGGACTTCAGCTTTTTCAGCTCTCACACAACCTACAGATTAAAAGAATCTTAGGATAGTGGATACTGTGATTCATTTACTTTCAACATTTCTGCTACAAAGAAGTAACTGTCCAGGGAAGGGAAGAAAGTGAGCAACTGTGAGAGCAAGATTTTCTCTTCTCCTTATCATGTGGTGACTGAAACAAAGTCAAAAGAGGAGTTGCATACCCCCTGAGAAAGTCAGGGTCATAGAAGACCTATTCTATGGAGCAACTTGGTGCAAGGCATTGTTTGGTGAAGAGTTCAGAAGTTAGATTACGGCTAAAGCAGGTGGATAACAAGAAGAGACAAAGCTGAATTTCATGCAGGCTGCTGGCTGCTCTGACTGTGAGCAGTGTGTTTCTGTGGATGTTGGGACAAAACCTACACATTCAATATTTATTGTGGATCACAGTGTGATCTGGTCCAAGACCTGTCACACGTACTGGTCTGTAAAGAGGGAAGAGACAACGGTGATAGAGAGGTAGCGAGAGCAGGAACTAACGTGCGGGATTTTTTGCACTGGCTAAAAGGAGTGTTAAGCGTTTCCACAGACCTGCACAGGTGTGGCACCTCCTCTGGTTCTTGCTTCCCGCATCAGTTGTTTTTGTTTGTATCTTTGTTTTCAATGTGCATAGCGCCTGCCTTTGTGTTCAGTCGCATGTAGCGCAACCTTACCAACACAGCCCAACTCCGACGGCTGTAGGCGAGGAGTCACCGCGGCAGCGCCTGAGTTCACGGCGTGACATCGAGCGCTACAATTGTTAGCGCAAACCCAGCCAATTCTTCCCAGAGCTATGCATGCGAGTACAGCTTTATTTGTTTATTTATTTATTTGTAACCCGAGGAACCAGTAAGACACGCTTCGCAGCCGGGGCCGCCCGCCGAGCCCGCCCGCGGCCGCCCGGCGCTGCCCCGGAAGCGATCGCGCCGCGCTCCGGAAGCGGAGCCGGGCGGGTCCGGCCCAGAGCGCGGCCCTGTCGCTGCCGCGGTCGGAGGCGCAGCTGTGCCCCGGCCCGACGCGGGGCCGCCGTCTCGCCCGTCACAGGCGGCCCGGCGCGGCGGCAGCGCGGGGCTCACGGCCCAGGTGGGTGCTGGTTCTCGCCCTTCTCCCGGCCGCTTCCCGCGGGGTGCCTGGCCGGCTCCGCTGCCGCCCCCTCCCAGGGAGCCCCCGGGCCCCGGGGCAGCCCTTGTCCGGCCCGCGCCACGACCTGCTGCTCTTTCCCCGCGGGTCCGGCCGGAGCTCCGTGGGGCTGGGCCCCCACGGGCACGGGGGGCTCCGGCCCGGGGCTGTTTCTGGGCGGGGAAGGCCGGGCACGGAGGGGGCTGGCTGCCTTACTCGGGGGCTGGGGCGGGAGCAGGGGTGGACGAGCGGAGTTCGTGTTTAGAAACACAAGACGAGGCGATGAATTTGTCCGTGCTGTGGCTGTGTCGGAGGCAGGTCTGGCGCGGGGAGCGGTCCCGGCTGCCTGGCCGCCTCCTCGTTTCTCGGCGTGTCTGATGGCTGTGTCTCGGCTCGTGTCACCTGTCAAGCCCTCGCACCTTCCTCTCGGTCAGCTGTGTGCGGCACATGCCTGGCAGGACAAGTTGTTTGCTATTCCGCGGCGTTCGAGGTGCGAGCCCTGAGGCTAATCGAGAGCTCTGTCGGGGCGGTGGGTTGGCAGACAGAGCAGACAGGGGAAGGGGGTCCTCCCGGCTCTTGGAAGGGGTGCCGTGCATAGGAATGAAAGCGATACCGGGCTCACTTCCTCGTCATTTTAAACTGCCCTTCCTCTGACGTATCGCTACGCATAAATGTAACAATGATAGAGCTGAAGACATGCAGACGTCAAAAGATGTCTCGACACTGATTTGGCTTGAGTGCTCATGTAAACTTGAAATTTTGGAAGAAAAATGCATGTTTTTCCATCTTCCTGGTCACTGCATCTTGCTCAAAGTCATTGCATAAGATGTGATAATCATAATTAGAAATCACTTGGGATATTGTTGGACTGTGAGTTGAAAGTAATGCTGTTATTGCAATGAAGAAATAGTATAGAAATCAAGATAGATTTCAGTAAGTATTGCAAATACTGCCCACTGTGATTTGATATTAGTATTTTTAACGAGCATTTCATCACTTTTAAATACTTCTGGATTTTTTTTACTTTAAGGCCTAGTGACAAAGTGATGTTTAGTGTAATGAGCAAAAAGAGTTTTCTGACTAAATCTTTAATGTTAACACTAGCAATAATTCCATATTGTGAGCCTGTCATTTAATCTGTTCTGCTAATTCTACAGTGCATTTATGTTTAGCAAAATGAAAAACTAATTTTTGAAGATTTATTGCTCTGTTAAAAATGTCTTGTTATTAAGATATACAGGTTCAGATCCAATAAACATTCTGGTTTTTTGTTGAAATCAGCAGAACTGCCAAGGAAATGAATTTTCTGTTTTCCTTGGTTAGCAAGTGCATTTGAACAGCACACCTGTCTATACCTACTTGAAAGGAAACCTGTATCAGTATCAATAACCAGTTCAGATCCAAGTACTGCTAACTCCACGCTGAAGGGAACAAAATTAAGAACCTTACTCCTTGACAGAGAGTCCCTCAGTTTATTTACTTCCATTTAAACAATGCTTTGAAAATGCTTGTTGAAACAGTGTGTCAGCAGTTGTATGAATATATAGTTAAATAGGTTTTCAGGGTTTTGCTCATTTTTCAGTTCAGTGTCTTATCTCAAGTGTTGGTGGTGAATTGTAGTAAAAATGAACTATTCTTCTCTAAAATTTTTATAGGCAGAATACTTTGCAACACCTTTTCATCATACAAAAAAACTCTGTTAAAGAGTAAATAAATAAATAAATAAATAAAGCTGTAATTGCACACAGCTCTGGGAAGAATTGGCTCAGTTTGCGCTTATAAAATGCTGTGGTAGGCAGGTGGTAGGTAGTCTGTGGAAGAATATGGCTTTGTAAGAGAGTTTCATTAACTGGAGAAATAAGATGTATGGCACTTGGGAAGACTGGTTTTCAGGAAAAAGCATCTGCTTCTGCATTTCAGTTCTTGAACTGTAATGTTGCTAGGTCTTCATCTTTTGAATTGATATTATTATGTTTCTTTTCTTTGTTAACTGTATGAACATAAACATACATTTACTTTGCATGAAAATAATTCTCTGCTAAATTTAACAATTCAGTTATAAATCCCATTGTTTATAAGTTAAAAAATTGCTGCTAACAGTTGCACTTCTACTTAAGATACTTTGTTGTTCAAAAGTTAGCTTGAAAGTAGCTGCATCAGTGTTTATTAGGTGTCTGATTATGACCTCATTGAAATTGATTTTGTTAATTTCTGTGATCATTGGGACTTTAGTTTAAGCAAAACAACTTTTTGAATAATGGGTGAAATTCACTCCTGAGTGGAGAAGTTTTAGATAACTTTAATCACCAGAGCCATTTAAATTCCTTGTAAGTACTAAACTATGGTTTAGATAATACTTAACATGACTGCAGTGGTTTTATTCCATGTATGTTCTTGTTATGCAAATATCTGAGGTCACTTAATCAGTGATGCTTAAAACAATTATCTGGTAAAACTATCATTAAGTTAGAGAAACTAATCCTCCCTCTTTGTTTTATTGATTATGAAGGGTGAAAGTGGTTAATGTAGTGAACTGGCCTCACTTCTTGCTTGTTGTGCTCAAGTCGACTGTGGCTGCTTAGGCTCCTGCAAAGATTGGAATAAGGTTTAATCTTTGGAAAAAAATTGATTAAAATAGTCACATTCAGCTCTGCAGGCAAGTTGAAATTTAAATGTGGTGGTATCTGAGTGTGTTCACAGCATCCCAACCTGATAATAATTGGACCTCCCACCTTCCCAGCATCCTTCCTTCGCTTCCTTCCTTGTACTGGTAAGGATTGCAGTGGGCACTGGTTTACAAACCTGTACTGGCTGAAAAGTAGCAATTTTTTTTTTCCTTGGTAGAATTATGTTTCACTTGACTCGGCACCCTGAACTGACTCGCCCGGCAGTTACACAGCTGTCAGTGGCTGTGTGAGGAGGGGTGGGATCCCCGAGAGGAAGGGCAAGAGTGGCACACTGCGGGCCCCATGTGTGAGGTTGGTTGGTGCAGGATCCATGAGGCGGCTGCGGACAGATCTGTTGGTGTTGCAGGACTCCAGCCTCGACCTGCTACTCCTGCTTTGCATTGGCATACATTGGCACAGACCAGCTCCACCATTGAAAAACATGGTCCTGTTTGCTTCCACCCTGCTCTGCTGCTTCCTCCTTCGTGCAGGAAATACTTGTATGGTTATGTGGTGAGCTGGGCTGAGGATTGAAGTAACCTGGGGGAGGGGCAGGCAGGGAAGGGTTCGCTTTGAGCTGGATCAGTTTGCTGCACAAACATTTGTGCTGGCTCAGAGATGGGGATGGAAGCAAGCAGTAAGGGGAGTAGGGTGTGTCTTTCTTTTGGTGTCAGTGACACATGATGCCAGTTTCAAGTAAATTTGATGCTGGCCTAATTCCTGAAGTTAGGATGGTACAGCATTAAGGGTTTGAAGACATCATTTGGTTATGGTTCTTGGGAATATTTACATCTAAGACCCCTTAAACCAGAGTAGTGTGTGTCTGGTTTCATTCTGTGCTTTGAAGGGATTTTGGGGGCAGAATCTGACCTTTTGTATAGTAACTAATTAAAAAAAGTTATTTGGTATCTATTGTTTCATATAACTGGTGTTCATCAAATTACTGCACAAATGGATTTGCTTGGCCTGTATATTGAATTTTTAAATTTAAAATACTTAAATAAGGAAAGTTAGTGATCAGAGTGTCCACTAAGAAAATGCCAGGCTATTTTGCAGTAACAAGTAGCTAAAGAGACAGAAGAAATCTATTAAAATTATGAGGCTGATGTAAGATACACATACTAACTTCACACAGTTTCTGGGGAGGCAGTCTGTGACTTCTCTTCCTAAGTAACTATAATGGATAGTGGTTCAGCCTGTCATAAAGGTTGTAGCTAATGTTTCAGGATATGGATAGGCATTGATTTTTATATGTTTTTTGCCTCCCCTGATATCTGTGAAAATTGTAGATAGAGTGCCCCCTATCCATTTGTGTCTCCTTCTCTGTCATGGATTACCATGTGTAATAATCCTTTCTACCAGAGAAGCCATATGTGGTGTTACATGCTTTAGGCATAATCAGCCATTAAATGGACAGGATTAGCTGAGCCTACCTTCACTGGTTAGTTACCTTGATTAATTTTTCCCAAAGTGGGTAAATGTGCTCTTATGTGATTCACTCTGTTGGAAGTTTGTATGGGTGGTAGACTCTCTTTGCTCAGTGGTGATGAGTAACTGGGCAGTAGCTACTGCTGGAAGAGATGACCTATCTGCAGCTCCTAAGTAACGTTTGCTGTAAAAATGTAATGGGTTTTATTTTTGCCTGCTACTGTTTTTTTATCAAAACGAATTGAGGAACTGTTGGCTGAAAACTGCTGTCCAGAGATGTGTAATTTCATGTAGGGCATGCAGATGGTATTTTGGTTGTGCGTGAGTTGTAGAACAGCAGTTGTAATAGACTTTCAGTTTTCTGTTTCTACATCATCTTTTGTTGTTGGCCCTTCTGTGTAATCAGTGCTAGATGTGAAGATTCTTTTTAAACTTGAACTGGTGATAAACAGGTGTGTGGTGCTTTCTTGTATAAGCATGTGTGCATACAAATGTCTGAGTATGTATGTCATGTATTCTCCAACCATAGTGCACTTTTCAAAGCTTCATCTTCACTGCATCTGGCAGGGTGGCAACAATCATGATGGCGAATTTAGTTCACTCTTTATTGAGTTCCCTCTTCCTGCAACCATGGGATTCTCCACAATTTCATTTTTCCCCTCAAGCTTCAAATGACAACAGAAATAATTACCTCTTGGCTTAAATAAAAAGAACTAATAACTTATTTCTGATGTTTATACAATAAAAATTCATGATTATTGCATGCTTGGGACTGACTATATGCATTCTTTTCTAATAGTGGAAATGGCATGGTGATTACTGACCTTCTCATGTCTCAGAGTACTTTAATTTCATGTTTTATATTGTTAT